CAAGCAGTATCAGGAATAGAAACTCCAACCATGGTAGGAAGAGAGTCTACATAGTCTTCACCTAAAGTTAAGTAGAATGGAAATGTATACTGTGCAAACTGATCTACGGAATGAGCACACATGTTTGCAAATCCACAACCAACCCCACATCCAGGAACCCAACATCTGAATGACAGTAGGATGAGATGTGTCAATGTAGCAGGTCATATCAAACTTATTAAGACTGGCACAGCACTATACAACATCAGCCTCAGGCAATGAAAACATCCTGAGGTGGAGTGCAAGAGGAAGAGCTGTTGCCCCAATCAACATTATCTTCTGGATAGGACTGCACAGAAGCTGGAGGACAGTGCCACCTTCCAGGTCTCACTGCATGGAAGTGGATCACCTCTAGAATATATAGCAACCACACCCTCCAGACAGAACTGCACAGTAACTGGATGCAACATCAACCTATGGGACCTACCACATGTAGGTGGAGATCCTGAGGCAAATTGAGTGAGGAAGAGGAAACATAACCAACACATGTGTAAGGGTTTATGTTGATTGGTCCAACAACTTACTGGGAACCAACATCCACTGATAGTAGGATGAGGAATACCAAAGAAGGTGAACTGCAATGTAAGGGATCTACTCCAAAGTGACATCATCCTCTAGATAGGACCGCACAAAAGCTGGAGTGCAATAGCAATCTCTGGGGGCCCACCACTGCATGGAAGTGGATTGCATCAACAAAATATAAACAACCTCACTTTCTGGATAGAACCTCACAGAAGCTGCATGCAACATCAACCTCCAATATCTGGAGCATATTTATTTGTAGATATGCGCAACATCGTCCCCCAGATAAGATCCCATAGCAGTTGGAGCTCAATCCCACCACATGGAAGTGGATTGCATCTAGAAAATATAAGCAGCCTCACCCTCCAGACAGAACCACACAGAAGCTGGGTGCAACATCAACCTCCAGGACCCACTGCATGGTGGTGGAATGCATGATTGGAGGATCGTATGCCATCTACACCAGCAGAATACCATCACCCTAACTCTCTACTGAATGCAAACAAACACATTCAGAAGGACTCCTCCATGATCCATCACCCAAGCGGCTTGGAACTGGAAAGTGACAAGGACTTTCATACTCCACTAGGGGATAAAAATGCAGTGGAAAGTCTGGACCCAGAGAAATGCCAACACCAAAGACAATGCAATGGATGACCAACAAAACCCTATTTTGAAAACCGGACTGCCCCTGATTTATTCAATGAAAGGGATGGGCAGTTATCCCCTTCTGTTTTACCCATATAGGTCTATGGGTTACTATGATCCAGAATGGGCATATTAACTCAATAGTTATGGGTAAGTCCATTGGGCATAGTTTGTATGGAGAATGATACACAGTTCAACAATACTTACAATAAATCTGAGCTTTCTTAACATATCTTGATAAAAATTGGTAAGATGTTTGTTAAAAATTAAAAGTATTTTGTACACAAAGTATGAGATTGCTTTAATTCAGTATTTGAAATAAAGATTTGTTATTTTTTGTATTGTAGTTATTTGTACTCAGATTGAATATTTCAAGTATTATCATCAATGTCTTGTGCAGTGAAATGTTTAAAATTAAAAATAGAAAAAATGTACATACTTTTTAATATTTTGTCATTTAATATTAAAACTTTTCTTAGTTTATATTCTTAATTATAAGTTTTTGCTTTTTTACAAAAAAGTTAACTTTTGATGTATTATTTTTCTTTCTCATCCTTTAGCATTATTACTTATCACAACACACGTCAAAGGGGATTCATGGGGTTTACTTGGCAGTGACACTTTAGCAGTCATCAGAGTACTGGGATATTTGCCTACTACACTAAGCCTGATAAACTGAGGCAGGTTGGCTTATATTTAAAAAAAAAAACTTTCTAAGATGCATTTTAAAACATAATTACCTACAATATAAAACTAAAACCTAAATAATATTTAACTGTCTATCTAACATATTTATAGGTGAGGAATAATGTTAAAGTGCTAGTGAGGTCACAAGCAACAAGAATGATAAGAGTGCTTGACAAGTTCTCAATGGAATTCTTTGTGCCAATTTTAAAATAACTTGGAAAATAGTATTTTGAAATGTGGTCTGTCTATTGGCTACAAACATCTAGCTGAACTAAGTATAATTTGCTGAGAAATTCCAAATGTATGGGTAGAGAGAGGCCGTAGCATCTGTCAAGAGTTCCAAGAAATTTATTTCTCTTTCCTCAGAATGCACCCTAAGGAACTTGAACGAAGAATTAACCTAGATTCTCCCTATATATGGAAGGTTTAGTGTTTTCAAGTCCTTCTCAGCTTACAAAGTCCAAACTTTAAAACTTTGTAAGAAAGTAACTGAAGTTGTGCATCAAACTGAAGTTTAAGAATGTTTCTTTATGATTTATTTGAAGTAAATGAATTAAAATTTAAATAATATAAAACTTTGAACTATAATGTAAATTTTAAAGACAATTTCACTGGTATACATTGATAGTAAGATTGCTTAATTAAATTTTGAATGTAACAAAGTAAAATCTCGTGACATGCACAGTACATGGGTGACCATAATCACATGGACCTACCCATAACCACTGAGTTAATGACGCAAATATACTGTGACGAAAAACCAACTAGCAATCTTGTGGAACACCTCATCTCAACAGTGTGCTTTATAAGCCATGGGATACATTGTGGACATATAGTGCAGATTTGAGATATACAAAGCATACCTGGACAGTCAATGTTTGCCACTGAGTGAGATCTATATCCTAAATGGGACATGTCCCTGGAGGGAAAAATATATATATAGAAAACATAACTTACCCACTCATGGCCACACCAAAGTTTGAAGGATGGCAACAATCAGAAGGTGGTACCCTGATGAGGAAGAAACAGCTACCGAATGAAGAAAGTGAGAAATGAACATATGAGGTGAAGGAAACATGCCTGACTAAATAGTTTCCTTCAATGGATGATGGAGGTTAGACTCCAGGAAAAAGGACAAATGCCCGATCACAGAGTCCACATGTGAATCTAAAGACTCTAAAAATCTCTAAAAACAAATAAATGGAGAAAATGAACCAATTGAGTAAAAAAGATAATGGGAAAGTAGATGAACCTGTGAAAAAACAGAGTCCTTCCCAATAAGATCCCAACAGCAACAAAAACACGTGTGAAGGTATGGGGCCAAAAAGGTCAATAGCACCAATGAGGAGTAAGGAGGGAAAGTGTATCCCCAAAAAAAATCCCATAAGAGGATTGGTGGAGTGTCTCAGAAAGGAGATGTATGTTAGACAAGTACTGTAGGAAAGCTGTACAGGTAAGTCAAAGGTGGGAAAAAGGAAGTGGGAGAAATGGATAGGATTATCAGGGACAGCCCCCTACATGAGAAAAAGTGACTAACTGCTGGGAGTCAAGAAAAAGTTGAGCAGCTTCTCATAGGTCAAAGCATAAAGATCAGAAGTCCATGGAGAATGAGGCATGCTATAGCTAACGCCAGCACTCAGCTGAGAAATTAAAAGCTCAGCAAGAACCCCGAAGTCACAGGAAGGAAGGAAAACAAAGAACTCTAATGATGGGTGTCATGTTAAAAAAGAAACAGTATCATATGAAAACGAGAAGATTGAGCACACCTGAGAAAGCATATTGAAAAAAGGCAAAGTTAGGCCTAGTAGATTTTGTGGGAGATGCATGGGAAGGCATGGTATAGGTAGGAAGAAAGAAAAAAAACTGTCAAAATCCTCGTCATTTGGAAAATGCAGGAGGAACTTGAACATTGTTGGGAGAAAAAGGATGTCTCAAATAATGATCAATGTTCCAACAAATGATAGCCAAAAAATCCTCAGTCGAGTCCCCCAGATCTGAAGCCATTAATGGCATTCGAAGTAGAAGTAATAATATCAGAAATTACAAAACTCAAACTTGAGAATTCATCTTAAACCATGAATAAGTCGAAAATAAGAAAAAAAATCAATAAACAAAAGTAAGTTATCTCAGCAAACTAACTACTGGAAATAAAGAAATCAAGTAAATCACTATTTCACACAAAAAAAAATTAAATGAACACGCAAAAAAAGAGCACAAGTAAAAAACGTCTGCATTTGGTCACTGCCATCAGGAAGGTGTGTTGCACTCCTATTGGTGGAAGGTTGTCGCATGATGATTTACATGTGAGACACAGTTGAACCATGTTTATCGTGGGGTATGTGGGAGCTCAAGGCTTGTGGCATGCAAAAAGTTTTTGCATAATGAGGCCAGCACTGAAAAAGAATAGCTATACATGTGAGAGGAGGTAATCTACATTAACATTTTAAGACTGGCCATAAGTGGTGCTCTTCAGAAGCTTAGAATGAATTTATTTTCAAAAACAGATATCTTTGGTGACAAAGTTGTATTGTGGTGTGTTTTGGTAGAAGTAGATAGAATTTACTGTAATAGACTGTTCTGGATTTGGTATTAAGATATTTTTTCTATGTGCTAATGAGTGAAGCTGATATTTCTTAGTTACAGTAGGAAGACACTCAGTGCTAATGAGTGAAACTGATATTTCTTAGTTACAGCAGGAAGCCACTCAGTGCTAATGAGTGAAACTGATATTTCTTAGTTACAGCAGGAAGCCACTCAGTGCTAATGAGTGAAACTGATATTTCATATTTATAGTGGGAAGCCACTTAGTGCTAATGAGTGAAGCTGATATTTCTTAGTTACAGCAGGAAGCCACTCAGTGCTAATGAGTGAAACTGATATTTCTTAGTTACAGCAGGAAGCCACTCAGTGCTAATGAGTGAAACTGATATTTCTTAGTTACAGCAGGAAGACACTCAGTGCTAATGAGTGAAACTGATATTTCATATTTATAGTAGGAAGCCACTTAGTGCTAATGAGTGAAGCTGATATTTCTTAGTTACAGCAGGGAGACACTTAGTGTTTATGAGTGAAAGTGACATTTTATAGTTATAGTAGGAAGACACTTAGTGCTAATAAGTAAAAATGATATTTCTTAATTATAACTGGTGGTATTGAGGTTTTCAAACTCTGATTATTTTAAAACAATTTTAAATTTTTATTCATTTTTATTCTAAAGACAAACGTTTTCATGATATTTGAAAATGTATACACTTATTAGTAACTAACAGTTCTAAAAAACTATTTTATCTTTCTCATACGTGGTTAAATTGATTGAGCAATCACCCTTACCTACATAACATACTAACCTGGTACACTAACACTACCCCGTACCAACCCTAGTCCACCTGCATGCACTCTGTGATAGCCACTGTCAATAAATGGGCCCACAGTAAACTGAAAAGGTGAACCTGGGATATGAATATTCTTGTGTCGGACACAGATTGTGTGAACACCAACTTCTTTTGGTTCAAAATGAATTGCATAAAGGCAATCATCCAAGTCTAAAATTTCAGCATCTTCTGTTTCACCTGATGGAGACGTCACTGTGGCAGCCATGTCAAAAGCATTTGTTCCTGGAAGGAATGTTACATGGAAAAAATTTATAAGTTTAGACATAACATTAAAAAAATGCAATTTTTTTCTTAAATTAAATAAACTAAAAACATCAGAAACCTCCACAAACATAATTTAATAATTATCACCTTAATATATATTCTGGTTTTCAGAGGTTTTGTAGGTCTTCTCGACTGAATCTGTTAAATATAACCTGCTAAAGTTTTATCAACATCTTGTGACACCTACACTTTATCGTCATGCTTACATGTACATGAGTTAATTGAGCATAAAAAATGAACTATTTTGATGTTTTATTGTTTTCCAGTTTCAGAAATCAAGAATTTATTAAACATTCATTTAATAAAGTCAATAACTAGCAGAGTCACTGAGATTAAGTTGGTAGTATGAAGTTAATCATGTGTAGTTCAGGAGCACAAACTTAGCTTCGTACTCTAATTCAGACCAATATATTTAACTGAGATTGGTGATTCAGTGTTATCTAATATTATGGTACACTGTTCAAACTTATTTTCAATTATAAATTACTTTTAAACTCAGGCAAGGTCAAGAGCAGGTTAAACTTACAGTAAGTCATGAAAATAAACTGGGAGTAGTAGAGACAAATGTATATATATTTAAGTCTGCATTAATTAGCAAGTTAGAAAATGGGCAAAACAGTTTAAGAAAGTCTATATAACTCTGATGGTTCACTTCATTCTTCAATTTATTCCAATATTAACAATTTTTGTATTAGAATGTAAAACTTGATGATAAGATTGAAAAATGTTTCACTAATGACATGAATAACATTTTGACTAATTCGTTCTTAGCTTTAAAAAATCCACAATCCAAACTAGTACTGTTGTAAATGCTATGCATAATTTGGTATAACTGTTTCATCAAACTCATCCATTCCAAACATACAATACATAATTTTTTATGTATATGTTTTTTCTTTATATGCAGTTTCTTCAGCCTTGCTTTGAGAAAAAAAAAATTAAACTTAATCCTTACCAGTTAGATACAGTAGGCTTTAATCAGCTAGTTTAATTTTCATTGAGCTTTATGTTATGTCCCCATATTACAACAAAAATATTTTAATGATACTTTTCATAATAAACTTTCTTGTCATATAAATTTATTTCAAGATAACTGACGAAGAAGCAAGCATGTCAAATATTCCACTGATAAATTGGTCATTCAGCACTCATTATTACTGATAAAAATATAATAATAAAACAGTACAGTCATGGGATTGTTAGATGCACTGGTTTCCCTTAGAGTAATAGACAGAAAATGTTTTGTGGGAGTAAATCTTAATCCTCTGAGTTTGTACTGAGTTAAGCAAAGAATGAGACTTAACACATCAGTGTGAAACAATTTTTATTGAACTCCAAACACAATCAAAACACAAAAACTATGTTTTTTACTAGAGGGTTGAGAGCTCTCACTGAAGAAGTAAGTCTCTCTAAGAGTCTGTAAACAACTATTTCAGATGAGAAAAAATAGCATTATATACACTTAACATTAATGCCATTTTTTTCCATGTCACTGTTGGTCATTCATATTGAAAAATAAGGCAAGTTGTATTCACAAATTGTTGCCTGACTGACCAGTGGAAAAGATTGCCATCTACATAGCTACTCCCTTGACCAACATACTGTGTTAAAATTATACACAGTTGCGTGTACACAATTTTAAAAGAATATAATATTCCTGTTAAGTATAGTGGTAGAAAACATGTAGTATGTAGTACAAAGGCCTTAATAATAACATTTTTAATAAAATGCTTACTTTAAATCTAATAACCTAAAGCACATTACAATTTACAAGTGATATTTTATTGATGTATTAGTTTTTCATGCCACCTCAGGTATCTATCGTGTTCTAAATCACCCTATACACTGAGTAATTCTGGAGTTAAATGCAAATAAACTATGAAGCACCACATCTATATTTTTATGATTAACTGTGCCATTATTTAGTTCAAGTACTGGTAAAAGTTCTGAAATGATCATTCTGGTATTTTCTCTGATAATTTGTGGAAATCTTATTTGTTCTGTACACTAACAAATTTTATTGGTTGATGAGAAACTGAGAAAAAAAGCTACATAAGTATAACAAAATATCAAGTTTTATTGTGTGTCGACATATGTCTATATATATATATACAAAAGGAAAAGTTTCATTGGTCAAAATCAGCACCATCAATTTAATTGGATGGCTATGTCAGTATCAAATCAAATTGATGGAAATGATATTATTTTTGTAAAAATTTCGAAAAGTTAAGCATATATCACCATTTCTTAAAGACACATTCCTTAAGAAATGGTGATACAGGTTTCAAACTTTCAGAATTTAGTAATACAATAAACACTACAGACCCATCCTTTAAAAAATACTCCATTAGTCTACGTTTTTTACAGAACTATCCTCAAATGTACATGTAACGAGAATATCTTGTTATCAAATGATATTGTTTGCTTTAAAAAGTTTTCCTAATTCTTGCTAAAATCTATACTATATCTCAACTAGATTCCCATGTTTAATGGAAAAGAAAGATGTTTGTTGAAACATTTCAACTAATGTGTACAATTATAGTATCACAATATTATATTTCTAATATTATTTCTTTAATGTACAACAGGCACCTAAAGGATTTCTTTTAAGTAAAAGTTAAGTATTTATATCAGAGAGTTTTAGGTGTTGAAATATGTTTTAATAACAATCATCTTAGCATTTATTACTCACCAGGCAGCTTCACAGAAAGCTTACATTCAGAGCCTACATCAGTAATTGGGAGTGCATCTCTCTGTTTAGTAATACTTTCTCGCTGGACATTGGAACCTGGACCAGTGACCTTAATAGTGAAAGGACTTCCTATAATGGTACAGTAACATATGTTAGTAAAACAAACATAATTTTACAATGCTATATTAATTGTATGAGTAAACTTCACTATCTCTCATATTAATCAGTCAGAGCTTTTCCTAAGGATTTTTTTCAACTGCATAATTTTATCATTTTTTAATACATGACATGTTATTCCACCTCATATATATAGGCCTAGTAACAAATGATCCAAGAAATGAAGACTATTCTAGTAAATACATTTATTTATCAACTCTGGAATGGAATTTTATTATCTTAAATATGTTTTTTTTTAATATTTATCCACTTGAACTTACTTATATAGGTGATTTTTCAACTACACAAATATTTTTATAGGTACATAAATTGTGATAAACTGCACATTAAGAAAACCCACGTAATCAGTAAAATTCTAGACATTTGTAACTAATTTCATAAAAATAAGAATGAAGATACTATCTTCAAACTTCAAGCTTGAACTTTTATAGAAAAACTTCAGACAGTGCAAGGGAAGAAGAGGGATCACATGTATATTTTATCTTCCCTACATAATTAAATGTAACACCACTAAATATGATGCTATATTAAACATTTAGTTAAGCTCATGTGAAATCCTCTTCATAAACTCTAGTGCTATCTGCTCAGAAATTAATAACTTTGGCTCAATAAGTTCAAGTTGAGAGTTTACTTACGATCGTTTCTTAAAAACATAGTTTTATTCAATGTAAAGATCAGGCACTTTTTATTGAAGAAAATATCAAAAAAGATAACATGAATAAAACAGTCATGAATTGATTAAGTGATTCCTCAAAAGGTGACCTGAAAAGAACAAATATTTAGGGATGAGTGTTCAGGGTGGTTGATTAAACAACTCACTACATGATTGCATATTATTGTATTGCAGATAGAAAAGATGAATTTAAGATCCAATAAAATAAAAACTAGAAATGTTCTTCAAAGATTTTTTTATGGTAACATATTTACCTGGAACATGATTGTCTGCAAATTTGAGGTTAATCACATAGTAACCAGGTTCAGTAGGTTTGTATAACACCTTTAAAGTTCCATCCTCATTGTCATTATAGCTAATCTCTGCTTTGCTAGGACCTTCAATAGAAAGACTCAGACCACCATAACCTACAAGAGACCATTTATTGATATGTATCATTTAAACATCAGAAAAGTATTGCATAACAGAAAACGTTTAATAAACAATAAAATATCAAATTAAATGGTGTTCAAGAACATGATTCAACATATATATATTATGTTAACTTGATTTTCTATCACAAATAATTAACCATGAAATAAATCAGAACTGAACCTTGTTAACTGACACTAAAAGAATTATTCATCTGTGCTACTAGAACAAATTATCTAAAACTTGAACTGTTACAACAACCTCCAAACTACTACAACCTGAAATGCACACTAACCAGCATTCCTTGTGTCTATCATGATCTCGTTGTTTTGATGAGTTTTGCTCTCTTTGATTCCAACACCACTCACTTTCACATTGGATGCATCACCAACTTCTTTTTCGAGAACATCAATTTTGAATGGACTTCCATGGATTGGCTTGCCCTGTCTAGTGACATGGACCTTGTGTTGACCAGTCTCTCGAGGGGTGAAAGATATTCCTGGATGGGAAAAAATTGAATCAAGTAATTTTCTTTTCTTAATAAAGTGATAGACATTATAAGATAAAAAGCAAAACAAATCATTTAATGTTACTGTCCATGAGATGTTTTTTCTTTAGTTTTACTAACAGAGCCTCATTTTTGTACATACATGCTTCAGACAACCACACACACATATATATATATTGTTAGGTCTCTGGTCGTTTGTTAATTTCCCGTAAAAATTCTTTCCGAAGAACTTCAGCAATACAAGTCCTTTCTTAAATAAAACTAGTTTATTCTTTCTCAATACAACTTTGCAATACACTTAATTTCCACAGTCACTTTAACTTAAACATATGCTATAATTCATAACGATTCACACATTTTATTTACGACTTGACTCGATTATCTGTCTCTATATCTCCCTATCTGCCATTATTATCTCCACTTTATTTGCCGGGCTTATATATACTAAAATAGAGAGTGTCTGGCAAACACTCGGGCCTTCATAATCCTTCTAGAATCTCATCACGTGTTACCAGCATCACGTGACTCCCGCTGTCGTAACAATATATATATATCACTAAAACTAGTTAAACAACTGTTATAGCTAAAACACACTCTGTACATAATGATAAAGCAAAAATTTTTTTCTCAACATAAGATGGTGTTAGAAAGAAAATGACTGAAAATTCACCCCCCATCCCCACAAAAATAGTTTAAAATCATACCAAGATGTCCATCATGCAGTTTCTTCAAAAAACATGGCTCCTCCATTTTAGAAGGTGCTACAATACTGGCATTGAGATTTTTTATATCTGTTTCTTGGATTTTGAGGGAAACTTCACTAGAGTGGTCAACTGATATCTGGTTTCTCTTCCTTCCTTCACCTATGATGGTATGTATCAAGCACAAAAAATAAATGAACATGTACATGTACAGGATTGCACATTCAACACAAGTAATGAAGAAAGCAACATGTGGTAATTAACCTGGATCTCATATTGTGAATAACTGTCTGTGAAAAAAAATTAAAACAGGTTATGCATAAATAAAAAGAAAGAATTCATATTATTGATAGTAAAACAGTATAAGGATATGAACTTCAGCATAAACTATATACACAATACATATATATATATATATTTATATAGGTAACACAACAGTTATACTAATTTCAACACTTAAAGGAAAGATCATTTATTTACTTTGAATGTTATTTTACAACAGCTTTTCAGGCAATAAAACCAAAATCTTTGCACATAAAATGAAGGCTAATAAAACAAAGATACAAACTTCGATATGAGAAAAATAAAATTTACATCAGTAAGAAATGTATATGCAGAAGTTGAACTTACAAATTAAAGGGACACACCATCTGCCACATTCAACCTCTATTCATAGCTTTCACATGTGAAAATACATATATACATGCAACTAGCTCCTGGCAATTGGCTGAAGACAATGAAAAGTAGTTAACAGAACTCAAGTAATTAGATTCCCAAAACTGGCTGTAGAAAATGAACAGTAGAGTATTTAAGGGTATTCAAAACTGGCTGTAGAAAAGGATTTTCAAGCAACTATATAGATTCTGTCCTACAGTAAAATGAAGACAATGAAGAGTAGTTATTGGAACTTTAGCAACTAGCTTCTGTCCAATGATTTGCAGAAACAATGAATAGCAATTAAGGCTATTTAAGCAACTAGCTTCCCACAACTGGCTGGAGACAGTGAAGAGTAGTGATATGTGTTTGGAATTTAGCATCTACTCTTAAAGTCTCAGTACAAGTCTCAAATGTGAAATAAAAAAAATTTAACAACAGTAGTTAAATCTCATAGATGGAATATTCCTACCACTATATATATCCTGCTTCCACAAACAATTCTCTTTCTGAAGTATGTTTTACCCTCCCCAGACTATAGTTTGTACCTAATTTCTATTAGTCTCTTAAGTGTGACACTTTCTGATTTTAACCCTGTTTTTGTGAAATTGATTTACATATACTGTATATATATATACACATACATATATATATATACACTACATATAAAAATCATACAAAGTGTACAATATTTATTGTATTCTTCCTAAATAAAATTAAAGTAATACTCTTCATAATACTAGAACAAAATCACATCCACACAGTATTAAGAATCATACCAGTAATTGTGGCTGTGAAAGGGCTTCCGGTAATGTTTACATTAGCAAACTTCACCAGAATCTTGTATTCTCCTGGAGCTGTAGGAATATAAGAAACACTAACAGTTCCATCCTTGTGGTCATGACAACTGATTTCTGCCTTGGAGGGCCCTTCAACAGCAACGGACAAGCCATCTGAAAAGTGACAAATTAATACAATATCTTACAGAGAAGGAATTCACAAGGTATACAAAATTAAAGAAATTATATATATTCTTACATAGAAACTAACAATGTATCTTTAAGTCTGCAAAACCAACAATAATGTCCAACCTAGATTAAGTTGAATCACTTTTTGAATATTGTTAAATAATGTTGCGTCAGCGAGGTCACGTGACTAGTATCATGCCACGTCCTTCTCTTGAACCTTCGTGAATTATCGGGAGACTACTAGATTGGGGGTAGTCTGGTATATATAAGATGGTCACAACGTGACGAGGTAATGAGTAATTGAACTGCAGTCAGAGACATGAGTTATAGCGTTCGTTATAGAGCGACTGTTGAAATTAAGTGTATCGTAAAGTTGTATTCAGAAAGAATAAACCAGTTTTATTTAAGAAAGGACTTGTGTCGCTAAAGTTTCGTCAGAACGAAGTTACGGAAAATTAACTAACGAATAGAGATGTAACAATAATATAAAGTCACTGTCCTTAACTATTTCACAAGGAAACGTGATTTACAACTTGAAGATAAAAAAATTAACATCTAGTCTTTATATTAATAGCCCATAATTAGCTGGTACTTTAAAGATAATTTTTCTAACATCAGATTAAATAATTAAAACTATAAGTAAGAATTTTTTTAATGCTGCTAATATTTATTTAAGTGTATATAGCTGCTGTCTGAGTGGTAATCACCCACATGTCCAGAATATTTGAATTTATAGTTCTATATGACAGGCTGTGATAAAAATATGGAAGTTATGTTACTGTGGGATTACTGTATGTTATCTATTGTTCATAGATATGCCTCATAATTAGTATTTATTCCTATAACCCTCCAAAAATCATATAAAATTTACCAAGAACTATTCTCCCATAATTCCATCAGAATACATGTAACATTCACTAAGTATTACTTTCCCCCTATCCACCAAAAAACTGCATGTAAAATTTCCTAACTACCAGATCACTTGAAAAAAGAAATAAAAACATCTACACAACACAGTTCGATAGCTAAGGAATACTAAAGACAAACCTGCTCCTGCTCCTTTGGTGTAGATAGTGAAATTGCAGGGTTCTCCTGCTACACCATATGTAAGACCAGGACCATAAGCTGTCACATTTCCACTTGTTACAGCATCTACATGGAATTTGAATGGACTGCCTGTAAAATTAAGATTAGAAAATTACTTATTTAAACCCAAAATTCTTTACACCAAGATAATCTGACAATGTCCCAAGAAATTAAAATAAATGTTTCTAATAAAGACTTTTGTAATAACTTATACTGTAAATCTTCAATGGCTTATAGGGTCAAGACTAAGAACAAAGAAAGCAGAAACATTTGATTTGATAACTTTAACTTATAATCTTCCCATCTAGTTCATGATCTAGGTATAAGCTTGACAATTGGTATGTTAAAATGTAAAGGTTTTGTATAATTCTAATCCCTTTCTAAACAATTTCTATTGACCATTGCTATACTTACTGAACAATCTGAAACACGATGAAAATTGGTTAATCTGCTGTTATTACTCTTAAGTAATCAATATGTATATTCATAGCTTCCACTTTTGTAATATAAGAAAAATGAATCATTTGTTAATGAAATTCATACCATCTCATTTATTTGGTTTTCTTTAATAAGAATTCTATTTTCATATAGATTTTTTATGTGTGTAACATTTAGTTATTACTTTCCAGAGATAGGTGACTGTTAAGTTGGATTAGATTCATAAAAATACAGCAGTATTACTGACATGTATTAAAACATCTTTGTGAAGTAGTTTTGGAGTTGTTTCTTTCCATGAAATGAAGAGCTTTCTTTATAATGTTTTTATTTTCAGCAATGTGAATAATCTTTGTACATGAACTTTGTATATAATTGTTCAACATGAGATTAAACTGAAAGAAAATTGGCAGTAATTACAAATACCCCTGTTAAAGCTACCTACATAAATCAGAACTAAAAATGCAGTAAATAATGTAGCTAGTTTACTACATCAGTCTACCTGGGAGAATACAATGTCATAAAACACAAACTTAATAATGATTAGAATCCACTGATTCCTCAGTTGAATACCATCTCTGTTACTAGTATGTTTTCCATTATGTTGCTTTTAAATTTTTGATTTTAATGTACAATGTGTTGTTACAACATCAAGGTCACATGACTAGTATCACGCCACGTCATTCTCGAACTTTCACGTCTTTTCCTTAAATCTCATGATCCTTCTAGATATAGTGTAGTCTTGTATATATAAGACCGGCTACGAAGCGACGGGGAGGTAATGAGTAATTGAATGTATGCGGATAAAATATTGTTGGCCACGTGAGACGTCAGTTATGGCATTGTTATAGAGCGACTGTTGAAATTAAGTGTATCGTAAAGTTGTATTCAGAAAGAATAAACCAGTTTTATTTAAGAGAGGACTTGTGTCGCTAAAGTTTCGTCGAAACGAATTTACGGAAAATTAACTAACGAACAGAGATGTAACAAATTGGTGTCAGAAGTGGGACAGAAAATTAAAAAAAAAAAGGAGAAGAAGATGGAAACAAGTAGCGGCAAATCAAACTACAGCTA